CGAGGGCTGAGGCCCAGGGGATTGAGCAAGGGAACCGAGGACACTCCAACTCTTGCCTCGCAGGCACGGGTGGCGGAACTTCTTCAGACAAATTGTTTAGGGGAAAAACTCTCGAGAGAGCGGCCGCGGCGACGCAGGCCCCCGCAGCGCCTCCCCTCACCCCCCCCCCGTGGCCACAGGAGGCAACGGGAGGCCACGGGAGGGAGTGGGAGACGACGTCGTCTGACCGATTCCGGATCTGGCGTCGCACCGACACGCTTCTCAGAAGTATACGAGCCAGCCTGGACCCGAAACAGTGAGCTGTTGCAATCTATGCTGCGCAGTAGGTGGTGCAATTGGCCAATGCTCACTAGTGAGTTGTCAACACCACTGCTCGCGCAATCATCCCACCCACCCACCCACCCGCAACTTGGCTTGCAAAACCCATGAGGCGGCAATTGTGATGTTTGCTGACCGCTGGCTGGTGCGACCGACGCGTCCGCAGTGGCGCTGACCGCTGGGGAATTACCAGCGCGTCTCACAGGCCGCGCTGAAGCGCGGGCACTTCAGTGCGAGTTGCTGAGTTCGGTTGTCGCGATATCATTGCGACGTCGACCACGGCAGAGACAATGCAGCGATGCTGGTGACGACGATGACGATGACGACGACAAGACACATGACGACGACAAGGCACATGGTGGCGTCAGCGACGAAGGTTTGGAAAGATTTCGACATGCGCGCGCGGCCGACGGGCGCGAGTAGCCCGCATGGTATTATTTGATTGGGATCGTTCCCCTACACCACGCGCGCAAGGGCGATCGAATACTTTCGACATGCGCGCGAGAGGGGTCCATTTGGTCGCAATTGAGTTGATAGCCGATGGTTTCCTTAAGAATTCCGAAGGGCGCGCGCAGTTTTTCTCGGAAAACTGATTCTGCAAAACCACGTGTTTTATACATTGTCGGGACACTCGATTTCGAAAGCGATGGTTGTTGTTCGAAAGATTCCGGCATGCGCGCGCGATAGCGCGCGCGTGTGCGCTTATGTTACTTTCGTTCCGTTCGTTTCCACATGACGATGGGGCAGAATCGTGCGTAATTTGCACATCCCCAAAGGGGGGAACGGTGGGGATAATCCTGGGGGAGGGTAGTAGATTTTCATTCCTTTGTAGAAAGTAGAACCGTTCTAGTGCGTGGTACTGTCCATGTGGTGCAATCCATGTGGTGCAACCTATGTAGCGCAAACAAATGCGAAGTAATGCAATTCAAATCAAAGCAAAGCAACGCATTGTAATGCAAACCGATGCAAAGTGCGAGCTTCGCACGACCAAATCTGTTACCAAGGACGGCGGCGGCGACTGGCAGCGGCGGGTAGTCACAGGCTGGCCTTACCGACAATCAGGCCAGTTTCTCAGAATAGATGTGTGAGACTCCAAGTGCAAGCGCGGTCTGGATGCGCATAGAACCTTCATCTGGAAGCTGGGTACACGTGACCTGGCCAGAGAGTTGGATACACACGTGTCCACAGATCTGACTAGCGCTCGGTCCTCGTTTGGCCGAACACGGTGGTCATCCGCACGTGTACCCAGCAAGCGGCCTCCATGTGTTCCACATGTGAAGCCTGTCACGTGTGTGCTCCGGCCCCCCAGCACGTCTCCTCCTCCTCCCCGCGTGCATCGCGGCCCAATTCGCGCTCCCTTGTCCTACCAGCGCCCTATGCGCCAGCGCAGCCCTTCTGACCAGCCGCCGACGTAAAAAAAAGGTGTGCTCCGGCTTCCTGGTACGGGCGAGCTGCCTGGGGGAAGACCTTTCAAGGGAGCGGCCGTGGCGAAGCGGGCCCGCGCAGCGCCGCCTCCCCGCCCCCCCCTCCCCCCGGGGGCGCGCCGCCGAGGGCCCGCCGGCACGCGCCCCGCCGCCGCGTTCCGCCGCGGCCCCCGGGCAGTGGGCGCCGTGCCCGGGTTTCTCCACGACCTCCGTGCGCCGCCAGGGCTCGGGCAGGGTTTGATGAGCCTGTGTTCCGCCACCACCACCACCACCATAAGTTCGAGGGGGGAAGGAGGTGGAGGATGATGATGATGATGAGGAGGAGGAGGAGGAGGAGGAGGAGGAGGAGGAGGAGGAGGAGGAGGAGGAGGACCCCTCCCCCTCCTACTTCTGGTGGTGGTGGTGGAAAAAAAGCCCACCAGTGTGCTCGCAGGCGGCCAAGAGGGGGGTGATGACGAGGGGGGGGGGGGAAAGCATGGCGGGGGCCGCGATGTCTCCCCAGGTGTTATGGCGCCTCTTCTTGTTTCAAGACGTCCCCGGCTTCCCCCTGGGCCGCGCACGGGCCGCCGACCATGATTTGCGCCCTCCCCCCTCTTGGACGCCCCCGAGCGCCGCCAGGGCTCGGGCAGTGTTCGGGCAGAGCCAGCCAGGAAGAAAATTATCGGGTTGGGGGGATGGGGCTGGGAGGAATGATCACACCATCCATCCTGCCGCGTGCGTGGGGGGTGTTTCTTACCCAGCCCCTTTCTCCCGACACGATGATAGGACCAGAGGAGGGTCACGGGCAGGGGAGATCGGGGGTCGACGAGGAGGGAGGATCGAGGATCGGGGAGGGGTTCTGGAAAGGATAGAGGACCGAGGGGGAGTGGGATCGAGGATCGAGGAGGAGGATCGAGGATCGAGTCCTGGGGAGCTCTGGAGGGTCCAGGGGACACCGTGCCCTGGCTTCTCCACGACCTCCGCGCGCCGCCGGGGCCTCCGAACGGCGTGGTGATTATACCACGTGGTGAGTCAGTGCGGATTCGGGGTCACCACGCGATTTTTGGAATTAGAGACGTTCTCCGAAGACGTCTCGGGCGCCCGGGGCCTCCGAGGTTCCCAACGCGTGCGGTGACGGACCGCGCGGTGAGGTCGATGGGGATTCCGAGGTCACCACTCGGTCCGTCACCACACAGTTCCGGGCCCCGAAAGTGGCCTGGCAGGGCCACCCTGATTTCGGATCCGCCGTATTTTAGGCGATTTCGCAAGCAGGGCGGAAGTTCCCGCACCACTTTCTCGGCTCCTTTGATGCCGGTGTCCACCCTGATTTGCCGTCGGATGAATACCAGCCCCTGCTTCTCTGAAGCGGAAAGTTCCTCTCTACTTTTTCGCACCGTCTGGGGTGCATTTCCGATGCAATTTTTGAAATCGAAGATTCACATGAAGTCCTGCGGATGCGAAGTCAGGGGGGGGTCACCAGCAAGGGGGGCCACAGCCTCTTGGTGGAAATCGAGGATCGAGGAGGAATGAGGATGATCTGGTGGATCCGCGTTTTTGCGACACCTCAAGGAGCCTCTCAGAGCGGTAGATAGAGAATGCCCCAGGTGACCCCTGTGCCCACGCCTGTGTCTGCCGCGGCCCCAGGAGTTCTGGCGAGGGAACGGACTGGGCCGCTCGGGGGTTCCAGGCAGTCGGCCCGCTCACGCCCTACCTCCTCCCTCCGCGGTTCCCTGACTGCAGCTGCGTGGCAGCCTGCACGGTGCCGACGGAGATCGCCGGGCTGTCGGGCAGGCAGCTCGACAGGCGTGGCCCGGAGCAGCTCACCTTCCCGGGCTGCCCCGCCTGCCCCGAGCTGCGCTGCTCTGCGCCGGGGCTGGCGCTGGGGGCCTTCGCCGCCGGCGCGGCGATCGGCGCCTTGGCCACCGCCGTGGCTGGGCTGGTCCTGAGGCTGCGCCAGCCTCTGGCGGCGCTCGCTGCCCCGCCCGCGCTCCTGGACGACGAGCTGCTCCTGGCGCTGAGCGCGGGGGGCCCCCGGCCCTCGACGGCGCCGGAGGACGAAGGGAGGTTGGCGGCGACACCTGCCTGTCTGCGGGCAAGACGGCGCTGATGGCGCGGAGCCTCGACACCCCCGAGGCCCAGGTAGCGATCGACTTCTTCGACGACGAGAACGGCTTCAACTTCACCTCCGGGTCCTCCTCGTGCCGGCGGGCGCTGGCAAGTGGATCTGCGTCACGCCGGACCACAGCGTGCAGTTCGGGGACCTCACGGCGCACCGAGTCGTGCCGCTCCCGAGGAATGCCCCGTTCTCTCGGCGTCTGGCGGGCCAGCTGCATGCCTTCGACCCGTTCCAGGAGGGCGAGCTCGAGGCCATCCGGGAGCAGGCGATGGCGCTGGCAGCGGTGCTGGGCATCGAGGTGCCTCGCGGCGCAGCGGCTGCTCCGCCTCGACTGGCGGTCGCCGACCCTGCCCACCTGCAGTTCGGGCAAGTCCTCGACGCAGCGATCAGCGGCGCCGAGGACCGCTTCGTCCGACGGGGAGCGGTAGCACTGGCCACGCTGGATGCCGACGACGACGAGGGGAGCTTCACGGTCTGCGAGAACGTGCCGGAGGAGCGCCACCAGTGGCTAGACGAGAAGCATTCCGAGCCCGGGCGGGACCCGCGGGCGCGCCCTGTCCGGCGGGCGGGCCCAGGTGGGCCGCGACGTGCCACATTGGACCAGGCCATCGAGTCGCACCGCCCGCAGACCGCCGACGTCTGGCTGTTCCGCGGGCCGAAGTCGATGCCGGAGTTTCTGACCAGCGCGCGGGCCTCGGGCCTTGGCATCGCTGGCTACGCGAACCACATCACGAGCAGCGGGGTCCCGCCCGGCAGCGCGGCGGCCCACCAGATTCGGCCCCTGCTCGGGGCGCTGCGGCACTTCATCGAGCACGACCAGATCGACGTCGCGAACCTCGCAGGGGCCGAGCTCATTGCAGCGGGCCATTCGTCGAAACCCCAAGCGCCCCGACTACTCTGGGCCGGGGGGCGCGCTGGCCTCAGCCTTGGACGAGACGGGAGGGGTGGCCACCAGCAAGTTCGACGAGCGGTCGCGCAGGAGCAGAAGACGAAGGTGGTCATCATGATGAACACGAGGCTTTACACGGAGGAGAGGGACGGCGAAGCCAAACGGTCTGGCGGAGGCGGCGGGGGAGGCGGCAACAAAAAGTAGCCAGGAGCGGGCCAGCCCGCCCTGCCCGACCTCCGTCCCAGAGGCAGGGCTCTTGGTGGCCATGGACTTGCTCGGCGGCCGCTGCAGTTTTGTTTTCAGTTTTGTTTCGATGGCCTCGTCGCCGGCATGGCCCCCGACCCCTGCCCCCTGGCGCTGCCCCCGACTTCTTCGAGGAGACCAGCAGAGAGCGATCGGCGGGCCGCCGATCCGCTCGCCGACGTGCGATGCGGGGCTGGGCGCGGAGGGCCACCGAGGACACATCTTCTCGGGCCTGGACGCCCCGGCCGCCGCTCGAGCGCCACGCGCCCTCCGACCTGGGCGGGCGCGCCAGACACGCACGCTGACCCCCTCGCAGGAGTCCGCGCTAGACCGGGCGGCCCGCTCGCCGGCTCGACATGATCCGCCGCCGCCCGACACCTTGCCGAGAGAGGCTTTTCAGGAGCTCTTCAAATCCAGCAACATCTATTCCGAGGAGGGTCGGCTCACCGTGCGGCCCTTCGCCCGGGACAAGGCCCCCCTCTTGCAGGACTCGAAACAGCCTAGGGAGGCGGTCGACCTCGCCCCCGATCACGTTCGACAAGTTTTGATGGGGCCCGAGAGGTTCCTGGAGCGCCATTCCGACGAGCTCTCAGACGAGCCCCACATCGAGCCATACTCGGACCCCCTCCTGAACCCTGAGCCCGGGGCCCGAGGGTCCGCGCCAACCACCCGCGCTGCTGCGGCACCTCGCCGACATGGGCATCGCGGTGGCCACCCGCCGGAAGGAGGTGACGGCGGGCTTGTTTTTCGTCGAGAAGAAGGGCGACCGCCTCCGCGCGATCGCGGACGGCCGGCAGCCAAACCAGTTCCACGGGCTGCCTCCTCAGACCAGCACGGCGTCGGTGGAGGCCCTCGCGCCGGCGCAGGTCGGGGCAGACTGGCGCCAGCGCTTTTCGGCGAGCTCGGACGACGCCGCCCTGCACGAAGCCACGGTCGACTTGAAGGACGGCCTCCATCAGTTCAAGATCCCGCATCTGTCCGGGCGGTTCGCGTTCGACGCACCAGGCGCCCGCGCGGTGGACCTTGGCGCGCGGACGACGACGCGGGCACCTTCGTCGAGGCTGCCCCTGGTGACGACGTGGCCTGCCTATGGCGGGCTGGCGATGGGCTGGCCCTGGGCTCTCTGGATCCGCCGCGAGACGTCGGCCCATGCGATGAGGTCCTCTGCGGGCCCCCGCGATGCCATGGCGCTGGACAAGGCGCCGGCGGCGCGCTTGGAGCACGGCATGGCGGAGGCCCACAGCACGTCGACAACGCCAACATCACCGGGGTCGCGCGCGACCTCGCGCAGGCCAGGCTCGAGCGCACGACGGCGGCCCTCGACCTGCCGGGGCCGAAGCGGCACGAGAGGCAGGACGCGGGCGTCGAGGTGGAGATCCCGGGCGCCATCGTCGACTGCGTACAGGGCCTCGTTCGGCCCAAGCCGAAGCGTCTCCAGCGGTTGTATGGCGGCCTGACCATCCCCCTGAAGTGGCGGAAGGCTGCGGGCTGGCAGATACGCGCCGTCCTGGGCCACCTGGTCTCCTCCTTCCAGCTGCTGAGGTCGGGGCCCTCCGTCTTCCGCGCCCTGTGCGACTTCGCCCAGCAAGACACCGGAGGGATCAGGGAGCTGCCGACGGCCGCGCTGCACGAGCTGAGGGTGGCTAGGTCGCTTCTCTTCCTGGCCTCGGGCCGCCGGGGGCCGCCGCCCTGCCCCGCCGCGTTCACGACGGGCGCTTCCATGGCCGCGCGCTCCTGGTCAACGACGCGACGCCCGACGAGGTCCACGACATCTGCCGACAGCGAGAGCGAGCCCGCTTCAGCAGTCGCGAAAAGTTCGTCGAGCGGGAGCACGACGGCTCCAGGGGCCCCCTGGCGATCGCCGACGCTTGCGAGGGCTGGCGGGATGGCCTGCTCGATCGGGCTAAGCCGCCTGGCCCTGCGCCAGAACGCCGCCGGGTCGAGGTCGACTCAGGGCGGCGGCCGCCGCCCCTGCCCGACGACTTCGTCGACCCGAAGCGCTGAGAGTTGGTCGTGGCAGGGGCTTGGCGAGACGCGAGCCGCATGCACGACTGCGAGGCGCGCTGCGGGCTGATGGGCTCGGCGCGGGCGGCCAGCCACCCCCCGCACCGCGACGCGGAGCCCCCCTCTGCGGGGAACAACCCGGGCTCCGCCCTGGCCTTCGAGAAGGGCCGGGCGGCGAACAGGGAAATTCGCGCACAGTGCCGACGGGCGGCCGCGCTGCAGCTGGCCTCCGGCATCGCGCGGCGGCAGCGCCATGTCGAAGGGGTGCGGAATGCAGCGGGCTACATGAGCGGCGCCGCGGACCAGGGGTTGCTCCGGCCTGGCCAGGTCTGGCGCGGGCCGCGAGGTCGCCTTCCGTTTGGGCGCCCCCCCGATCGCCTCTCCGCCCTTGCTCTGAAAAAGAAGACGGCGCGGGACGACAGCTGCGACTGCCCGAGGGCCCCAACGGGCTTCCCCAAGCCCTCCCCGAAGTCTCTCTCAAAAACGGCTTTGGGTTCTCAGGGGACTGCGGTGTCGGAGGCTCGGGC